TTCGATAAAACCTTTTTGGGGTGTGTTTTATATAAGAGTGACCTCGTTTCTAAGCCTAATATAAAACAGTGAGCAAATCAAATGTACCATGAATTTCATAAACAATGTGGCTTTGTGAGCTTGCGTTAGGTTTTTGGAAACGTTTATAGACTGTTAAAAGTCAACTAATTAAATTGTGTTTCTTTCTTCTCGAAATCATACGATGGCTAGAAAGCCATTAAGTAGTTGTTAAATTACATAGAGCAATTGAAGAAACAAAAAAAAACAATTAATTTATAGTAAAACCATTTGAAGCCTGGCCTAATGACAAATCCAGTCTTAAATTAACGTACTTACGTATAAATTTTGTTATCACAATGCATTTTAAATTGAGATATTCAACATCAAATTTAATTAGTTGTTAATTACGTAGAGCAATTTGCTTTTGTCACTTGTTAGTGTCGTCACTTAAGTAAATACTACTACAATATTATTATGATTCATTACAGTCACCCAATACAGGTGGCTTGCGTGCCTGTTTTGACGATTTTCTTAAAATAATGATGAGAATAATTTAATACAACAAAAAAAATTGTCAAGGAATAAAACATGTGTTGAAAGTACTTGAAAGGAAAAAAACAAGACCAGGGTGAACATTGACGTTAAACCGTCTAGATCCACGATGTTGATGAATGGGTCAACTCTTGTTGTCTATATTCACATAACGATTCCTGATATTTTCAATTTTCACATTTTAAACCATCACCTTTACTCTTCTACTTTTAAGACCTTAAATTTTGATATGAAGAAATCAAAGGCTGCTTCGGTTAATGGATGCTTAATCGCTTCAGATGACCTTTTAACCCGCAGCGAGGCGGGTCCGGTTCGCTTAACATGCATAGTCGGTAAGTTTCAAAGGTTTACACAGTTCACTTCACGACAGACATACAACAAGCAGTTACCATAAATTACCATACAGATTAGCAAATGAAGTTGGGAGTTACGGCCAAAAGAAGAAGGTAACATAAAAAAAAAACATCAGTGTATGTGGAGTATGCGTGTGTGATGATCATATTATTCTGAAGTTGCTGGAACTACTTACTACTACTGCAGTTCTTTCTCGAGTTCATCAAATTCCCATCCATCAACCTCGTCTGCAGAGTAATCACGAACAACTTTACCAAATTCAGATTCAAGCTCCGCTAGTTCGGCTTCAGGGTTGAACTCCTGACTGGAACCAGCAGCAGTAGTCGGTGGTGCCACGGGAGGATTGCTCAACTCTAGCTTTTGGGTCATGGTAGATGATTCCGTTGGAGCATCCATGCTAATGCTGGGCTTGGGGGATTTCGGTGTTGAAGCACTGCTTTTAGGTGACGGAATCTCTATCTCTAACGTTGGTCTTGCTATTGATTCAAACTCCTGCCTTAGTTTCTCCATGTCATCAAATAGCTCTTTCACACGCATGTCGTCCTTTCTGGTATTATAGTGCATGGAGTTCAGAACTTCGTATAATAAATCTCTACCAATTAATGAAAAGGAAAGGAGAGTTATGTTTCCACTCACTTTTCTAGTTTGCTTTGGAGAACCTGGAAATGCTCTTTCATGTTATCCACAATGCTGAAGGTGGTGATGATCTATTTTTTTTTGTTTGTTAAACCAGATCAGCAACGAGGAAGAGCAACAGGAAAAGAGAAAACATAAAAAGAACCAAAGCTTAACCGTGTACAGTCGAATTTAGGTAATTATTCATTGGGTCTCAATGAAAAAAATCAAATGTGACCTACTAAGCAGCAACTCTTACCTTGGTCTCATAGTCTAGATATTCCTGCTCCAGACTTTTCCTCGGGTTTGAAACCTGATTGTCCACCTGATCTGCATTTGGTGGCATCTCAGACCTGTCACCACAACATGCGAAAACTGTCACCACTACTAGTAGGAGCAATTCTACTCCAACTGGAAGTATATTTTCCCGAAATAATAAGTTAATAGGAGCAATCCAATTCAACAAGAGGCATTACCCAGGACCAAGATTCTTCAGATTTTCCACATAATTTTCTATACGACTTATTAAAGGTGACACCTCCTTCTGTACAATATTAATTTTTGTGTTAGCTCTGTCATTTCTCAATTACTGGTTTAAAGTTTCCATAAAATACAGATGTTACCTTGTACGTGGAGAGTATATTAAAGGCCACATCCGAGAAATAATCCTCATGCTTCTCCAATTCGTCCCTAAGACATGAATCCACTGGATTATTTCATTGTGGTTGTGCAGCAAAGCAACATATATTTCGAGAAACAGCTGAGAGTTGATAGAAATACAAAGTCTTTTTATCCTTCGTTTCGGTGTATGAGCATCGAAGAAGCCATGTATCTTCAAGAAAATTAATCCACGTCTTGATAACTTCTGCCTCTTTCTTACAAGCTACAACTGATTTAGACAGGTCATCCTCCTGCATGCAGAATCAACAGAAGCAAATTATTTCACGTGAATATTATTAAGTCTAAGAGCCACTCATCTAAAAGAAAATAACACCTTTGTTTTCAGGTGAGCGATTATCTGATTGTTGGCTTCACCAAATTGATCCCTCTCCTCCGTCGCATTACGGAACCGAGCTTGAGCAGCAGCTAATGATATATTAACCTACATGGAAGCATATTCATTGATATACCTTCCCTACCACAATAATCATAGCTACATATGCAGAGGAGCCAAAAAAAAAAGAAGTCTAAGTGCTTTACTCAGAATCAATGAAATCATATTATATTTCAATTCAACAGCATGATGAGCTTACGTTTATACAATTACGTCACATGAAAAAAAAATTTCCTGTTAAGTGTATGTACCTCCAAGATAAAACAAGAAACCATATAAACAAAGAAGGTTAAATTACCCTCTTCAGTTCAGCTTCCAGCTCATCTCTTTGTTTCTCAAGTTGTGAAATTTCCGCACTTAATTCCTGTACATAATAAATAATAGGAAAGAACTTCAATACTGGCAGCTGATGAACATGTCGAAGGATGCTGCACTATTAGTTTTTTATTTATTTTGCATTGAATAACCAAAAGAACAAATAAAAGCGGGAGAAATAGACCTTTTCCTTTTCACCGGTTTCAGTTGCTTTCACCACACGAGCTTTTAGTGCCTCTTCTTTCTGAAGTCTGCAGAAAAAAAGAGTTGGAAAATTGGTATCCATTGACGATGTTTTTCCTTCAACTGACTAATCATCCGCTCAATAGCACTAAGAGGCATCTAAATACAACAAGACAAGTTTTGATGAAAAATCAAAATTGTCTTGACCACCCCATAGTTAAAATGTGATACACACAGAGATGGAAAACGTTTTAAAATAAATTCGCTAAAGTTAAGAAATAAATATCAAGAAATAAATTGCACATTGCCTCAGCAAAATTTGCTGAACATGATATAGTGACACAAAGTGTACAAAACTTAATGTGGTCTGGGAATTTACCATGTCATACCAAAATTGAACAAAGAAAATAAGTCTTAACTGCAGATATAAGGAAACTAACTGGAGTTGATGATATGCTTAACCTGTTCTCTGATATTCGTTTCTCCGCTTTGGAGGTTGAATTTGCTAAAGATTCCAACAACACCTTGAGCTTGTCGACCTGGTTCAAAGACAAATAATCCATTATCTTCCATGATCAACAATCTCCCTAACATCCAGAAGTCTTCATACTCCATGTCAGCACAAACAAGTAGAACAAGATGATAATTAACAATACCAATCAACTTTTATGGTGATTATGATTGAGAATAATAAAGCTCACAAACTTACTTTCTGAGCATGTATATCTGGTGAATCACCGTTGCTTAGTTGTCTCTTTCTAATTAGAAGCCCTTCTAATCTGGAGCAAAGACGAATCTTTGCAAGTGTTTCTTTGAGAACCTGCAAAACAAGAAGTCTATCACATGGAGCTACCTAAATGAGCTAAGGGAGAGACAAGAGGGTTTGGAGATACTGCATGCTCACCTCTATTGTTAGAGGAGCCTCTTTAAGTTCCTTTTCTTCACTCTCCTGTGGAAACTGAGAGGCGTTCATCTTTTCGAGTTTTTTTCTAAGATCAGAAGCTTCAGCATCAATTCTGAAAAACAAGAATTGAATCAACATTCAACAGTGATGCAAGATGAGCGATGCTTTATGACTTGGTCATCCATTCATGAAGAGAAACGAGAGCAAAAAGCACATAAATATCTTCATTTATCACCTCAGCATTTCAGCATTAATCTTTAACCCTGTGATAGCATTTTGGGCAAACTGAAGCAATTCGTCCTGCTTAACCTGGACAAGAGCAACCCAAGACACATAGAAGAGTAAACAAGTTAGGAAGAGATCCAAGCGCCCATACATTAACATGAAATTTTATTGCTCAAGCGCTTACCAAAACTTCATCCTTGTAACTCGAAAAGACTGTAGCAAGATCCTGCATACTGCTGACTATGGCATCATGAACTTCCTTCCCTCCATTCAGACAAAGCCTGAAAAGAATGTTAAGCTCTATAAATAATCGCAGTAGGTATGAACACAGCAACAAATTGTGCCACTTTTCCAAAAGATAAAATCTTGAGACTCTTTTCGGAAGCCAAATTTTGACAATGCAATATGGAATGCCAGCCGACTCACCCAAACATCTCCAGGAGTAGAGTAACTTCTTCATCGTGTGGTGGTTCAATAATCTGTAATAGAACAGCCAAACCCAGAGTTAACCTCCATAGATAGTACCATATTTTTCACATAACCCGAGAAACAAGATAAATGACAGGCTCTCACAACATATAAGAGTCTACTTCGTCAGCTTTGCTCTTTACTTTCTCTTCAGCCAAGCTATATATTGTCTTAAATTTCAATTATCTTAAATTAACAGGAAAAAACTGAATCAATGATACTGCAGCTCAAGCCTTTCACGTTCCTACAAGTCTACCCTAAAATATGTATCCAAAGTTTTGGAGATTTTAGAGAAAGGGTACTGTTTGTTATCACTTATCAGATAGCCACCAGAAGATCAAGTTTAGGTTGTGAAATAATACCATGGACAGAACGATGCCCTCCAGAGCTTGACTTTGCAGGAAAACATCACGGAAGTTTAGTGGCTCACCTCCTATATCTGGATCGTAATACAAAACCTACACATGGAAAGGGATTTTCTGAAAGAATTCTGTTCAAAAAGGTCATAATTACAACGAACACATGAAAGTAGAAGCAGAATGGTACTAAGTAAGTCACTTTTAATCAAACCCTTTAACCAAAAAAAAAAAAAGGCTACTCTAAATCACTTAGGATAACAATCATATTTATTTATGTAATATCCTTGACATTCTAAAATGCAGGATGATATGACGACATCTTCATAAACTTCTAAGATTCTTAACTCAACAGCACTAAGGGTCACAATCATCTCTACTTAAGTAGTATTCTTGACTTCGTTTTCAAACTTCTTCCTTTCCTCTTATACAAGGAAAAAAAAGGGAACACGAATTATACCCATTCACGTCTCTTTGCTTCATCAGAAGCAAGTAGTTCCTCTGAACTCATTTGTTTATCCTTCACGGAACTTTCACTAGCTCTATCGATCTCCTTAAGCACAGTTAGCCATCTGGTAATCAGCAATGCTCTTTCATGACCTCTATATGAGACTGCAGCTTCTTCCAATCTCTGAATCGTCTGACTAACACTCTTAAATGCCCCAACACCCTGCAAAATCCCAGTCCAGGTTACATTCATGCTTAGTCCTAAAGTAATGCAACTGTAATGTCACTGTTCCAACTGCTCAAGAACTCGGAATCCATGAAATTTATAGAGTATGATACTAGCGAAAAATTAAACATTTATGGATCACCAAGTTCAAAATTAACAAAATCAAAACTAGAATCTAGAGAAGATAGACCTAAATTAGCAATTAGAAAAGGGAATAATACAAAGGAAAGGAGAAATTACAATGCGGTCTTGGAACAATTTGGCTCCTTCGGCGACGGCTTGGCCGGCTTGCTGGACGACGGAGTCTGCATAGTTTTTGACGGTTTGTGTGATGTTTTTGCGGTTTCCAACTTCCACCGCCTTATTCACGGCCGTTCGGAGCCACGACATGTTCTCGTCGGATCTTTTCTGGGCTAACAATGAAAGAAATCTTCTCGGGAAGAAAACCAATTTAGGGACTAATTACCGAAATGAGAAACTTGGGCACGGTCAATGTTTTTACTCCGTGAAAATTCGACTATTACAATTTGTTGCAGGTGAATAAAATATTATTTACTTATAGAATAATTTTCCCAACAATCAATAGCTATAATATTATAAAAAAATGTCAATGGTTAGCAAATTAAATTGGGGAAACCGTCTTAAAAATACGTATTTTTGTAACATTAAAATATTTCTGAAATATAGTTGTATTTTTTTACACCAAAAAGAGCATTGAATTATATATCTTATGAACTCTGAAAAGTTTTAAATTACTTAGAAATCGTTTGTTATTGGTTAGAGAGATTAAACAGTGTCTTTTTTGTTTTCATATTCAACAAAAAAAAGTATTTAAATCAAGTTCGAATTCGTGTTATCCGATTTTACAATGTAGTTCGATTATATAAAAAAATATTCAGAAAAAAAAAATGCAAAACAAAATCCTGATTTTCAAAAATTTTCAATTTAGGATATCCAAAAAATTGACAATCGAAACTTGGATCGGATCTTGGATACTTTTTATCCACACCCTAATCGGCAGCAGCGCAAAACTCCCCATGAGCCTTCAATAAATCCAAACCCTAAGAAGGGCCCACTCTTCTTATACATACCCTCTTCTCCGGAGCGATCAGATTTCACCGACTACGACGAAGGCTTAGGCTTCTCTCTCAATCGGAGAAACAAGAAGCTTAGAGCGACTGTT